GGGGGAGGAGGAGAGAGAGAGACCACATGTACTCGTACTCACATACACAGGTACTCTCAGGTATGCTGGAATAGTACTCGGCCACGAAAAGGAGTAAAGTACGGACGCATAGTGCAGCATGTAGGACCTCGAAGACATCATGCTAAGTGAAGAAAGGCAGACACAGAAGGCCACAGGGTGTATGATTCCGTGTATGAGAAGTAGCCAGGATAGGTAAATCCATCAGTGTCATATGTATGGTTACCGGGGATGGAGGGCAGGGCAGAATGGAGAGAAACTGCTTACTGAATACAGAGTGTTTTTAGGGGTGATGAAAATGTGGGACTAGAAAGAGGTGGTGGTTGCACAACACTGTGAATACATTGAATCCTACTAAATTGTAAGTTTCAAATGGTTAATTTTATGTTATGTGAATTTCGCTTCAGTAAAAAATACTTCCAACTAGTAAGTGACTTGAATAGGGCTGATTTGATTCATAACTGAACAGTGAATATAAATGGACCCTGCATTACTAGACGTGGTAATTTAAATGATTTTAAATGCCCTAGGGAAAACATCTGTAACTTTGTACTGGGGATTCTTGCTCTGTGGGTTTAAAACTTAGGCCCATAACTTGATTTATATTTACAGGATTGGGGGTCTTAGTTTTATTCCTAACATCATGACATTTGTGAAAATTCTTAAGTGATTCATTATTTTTCTCTGTCTAAATTACGGCTCCCGGAAAAACAGCGTAGTTCACTTACCTCAGGAAGCTACAGCGAATCACAGACTGAGTAAAGGCAAGGATTCTGTCCCAGGTGAAGGAGCTGTGACATGGGTACCACTCTCCTCTCCGTGTTGTCTGCGCTCCATTTTTGGTGGCAGGTCTGCGCGCGTGCATTTGTGGCTCAGTAATTCCTCATCAGGCCAGAACACACACACACTTCGGCTTTCCCCTTGGCTGCACTTCGTCTCCTTGTGCGGAGGCCCAGGAGCCCTGCGCTCTTCACCCCGCTCCTCCCAGCTCTGCTGTGGCCGCTGTGTGTCTGGGGCTTTGGGTTCTCCCCGCGGGCAGTGCCCGTGTCGTGAGACTGGAGCAGACCTGCCCTTCCTGCAGGCCGACGGGTGTGCACTGACAGTAAAGACTGGACAGAGCCAGGGCCGGTCCGGTCCCTGACCCCTCCTCCCAATGACCTCTTGGGCTTCCGCTGTCTTTTGTTTTCTTGCTTCCAGACGGAATGAGTGAGCGTGGAGGAGGAAGGCAGACCCGGGTTCAGATTCTGAACTCAGGATCGACTTGAGTCCAGAAGAGATTGAGAAACAAGGATTTGTTTTCTCTGTGTGAAGGAGAGTTGCCGCCCCACTCTCGTGCCGTGGTGTGGATGAAAACACCCACGACACAGTCGCGAGTCGGTGCTCGGTGCGCAGTCCGTGGGAGCTCAGCCTCCCTTCTCTCCACCATCTTGCTTTGCCTCGCGGCCTCCACCAAAGAGGAGGTGGAAGGCAAGGCCTGCCTGCGAGGAGCCAACAGAAGTCCTCAGGTCCTAAGAGGAACCCGAAAAGAGCTCAGACGAGTTCTGAAGTGTGACCGGCAGCCCTGGGGGCCGCTGTAGCAGGGTCCCCACGGCAGCCTCAGCTCTCCCGTGAGCACGGAAAGCCTGTTCCCTGGGCTTTCTCACCTCCCTTTACACCCACCTTTGCTTTCTCCTTTACCCTGTGTTCTGTTCTCTATTTGTATCTACTCACGCCCCCAAAGTAACTATGCAACCAAAAGTTCCATTTCCTGAGAGCTGCTGTCAGCTAGTTATTTGATTTGATTTAGAATAAAGTAATTGATATAAAAATAGAATGCCTAACGGCTGAAACTTTTGTGAGCCTCTGCAGGTGAGCGAAGGGCCTCCATGCAGGAGGTGGGCCTAGCACGAGGCGCCAGAGCCCGGGGTGGGGGGTGACCTGGTGTGGGCTCTCAGGGTCTGAGAGGAGGGAGGGCGTTTTCCCTGTGGAGGGAAATCCTGACAGGGGTGTCGTCTCGAGGGGTGATGAGGAGCATCCACGTGTGTTCAGGGGTGCTCTGTCATGGGGTCCGCGCCCCGGCAGTGTGGCAGAACCCAAGTAGGCTGAGGAGGGTGTCCCCGGAGGGATGGCCTGGCATGGGTGTCAGAGGTCAGTGGGAGGGAGGCAGGACAGTCCAGAATGGGGACTCACCAGAGCAGGAGGGCACCTCTGCACGGGGTGGGGGTGCCAGATTGCGTCCACGGCATTGGTCCATCAAGGGTGACGGAAACCATTTGCGGTTAGGGGAGAGGGAGCGAAAATGAACAGAGTTGTTGCGTTGCAGTTGAGAGTATCAGTGTGGATTCATGGTTTTCGGCATAGAGTTATTGAGCCAGATCTAGACGTAAAGGTGGGTTCACGTAAGTGTGTAAATGCACAGATATGCGTGGTGCCTCAGCCTGTTCACTGAGAGCGCAGCACCGCGGTAGCAATGAGTATATTTAGCACCCAGATCCTCACTGCTAAGTGTGATTTTCCACTGACAGGAGCCAGGGCTCCCTGAGGGAGAAGCTGACTGCAGGGCTGGGGCGGGGAGGAGTTCAAGGCTCGTTTCGTGCACGTGGTGCTGCCGGAATGCAAGGAAGGGCCCCAAGATCCGTGCTGGAAAGACAGGTCAAAAGGACCTGGAAGCCTTCGAGGGCTTTCACATCGGTCAGGGACACTGCGCATCAAGATAATGATTGTCATGGATCCCACACAGGATAAAATAGAACAATCTTGGGTTCATACTGTTCAGAATCAGTAAATGAATAAATTGTTTGACAAGGAACAGGATATTTTTCCTAGTTTCTAATTTAGCTTCCCACAAAATACGAATTAAAAGGGAAAAGAATAATGTTAGGGCGGACGGCCCTGGCAGGCGGCATCCTGACCAGTGATCGGGCAGAACGTGACCACAGTGGGGCAGGCAGGAGTTCTGGGCCACCTGGTAACCTGCAGAGAGAAGTGTGGAGTGTGGCTTCTGTGATGCTCCTGGCTCCTGGAGTTGAAGATGAGAGGGGTCCAAAGCCGAGCTGCTAATCCCCCCCCGCTCCAGCTTCAGCCTTCTCTGTCATAGTTGGGACCAGCTCCACCTTCCCGTTCTCAGACTAAACACCCAGAGTCAGCCTTGAGCCCTCCCTCTCAGCCCTCCCTCACCCCCCAGGAAGTCCCGTGTGTTCTGTCCTCAGAATCTGCTCCCTGCAGAAGGCGACATTTCTGAAGCTGTACTCTAACCTGAGGGACGCTTCCGTAGGTCTGTAAGCTATGACCACTGCTGCCCTTTTTTGACTCGATAGGGACCCCTTGCCAGCGGTTACCTGCACTGCCTCAGCCTTTTCTGAGTAGCTCTGGTCCCGCTGCTCACGGATCGCAGCGTCTTGTCTGTATGTCCAGAGCCCAGTCACAGGACCTGCAGTGCAGTAGATTGAGGACGTGTTTTGTGGAGAGTTGGCATCATTGTTATGGTGACCATACATTCAGCATTTTCCGGATCACTCATGATTTCAAATACTGTACCTATTTGCATCCATAAGCTTACTTTTTTGTCGGATTACAGGTCCTGGTTTCTGATTTGGAAACTGTGGTTGGTCTTCTTGCTGGGTACGTGGTGGGTGTCATGTGAGCTGAGAGAAGTGAGGAGGGTGGTGCTGAGGGTGCTTCATAGGGCACGTGACACAAAGGGGACCCTGGAGGCAGAGCTGACTGCGCCCAGGGACACGGAGCCATGAAATACATGGTCTCTTGGGGTGCGAGAAGGCCAGGTACCTCCCACTGTAGGTGGGACTGTGTTGTGGAACACGCTGGAATAGCTGTGCAGGACCTCGCATGCGGAGATTGTGGGTTGACCTGATTTGTAGCATTGGAAGGAAGAAATGCTGGCGGTCAGGGCAGCTTCCTCACTTGGCTTGCGAGGACAGAACCAAAGACACACGCTTCCGGTCACTGGCTGGCCGTTCCAGAGCTGGCCGTGGACTGGGATGGAGACTTTTCCAGTGCTTTCCCCGGGAAACATGCCCACTCGGCCAAACAGCTTGTGAGACTTCTGTGTCTGATTTGTCTGTGCTGTGTTTTTGGTACGTGTCACATGGTCTGCATTTAAACACTTACCGGCCATTTACTGAACGGAGGTTTCCGGGTCGTTTTGCCTTTGAAGTAGGAAAGCACTTCTGCTTGTGGCCACAAGATGGCGTGGGCCTCAGTTCCTCGAGCAGGTGTGTATTAGGAACGTTCAGCATGACTTTTTCTTAAATCTTCGTACGTTTGTTTTCACATTTTCCTATATTGACTTTAAAGGGATGGATATTAAATTAAGGTTCCATCTCTAATGTTGGTGAGGTTATCTTTTCTTTTGCCTTGTTGGTCTTAAAAAATCTTTAGATAAAAAATGTTAAGCATTTCGGGCATGGATAACTGAGAAAGTGAAAGCCCCTTAGAATCCTCCTATTCTATGGGATTGTCATATATTATGCTAGGGTTTTTTGGGGTTTTTTTTGTATCTCTGTTTTCCTGTGTGTATGTATGTGTTTTTTGAGAGGGCTGGTGTGGGGGAAGCATGTTTTTTATTTATTTTTCATGCTTTTTCAGTTTTTTTTTTTAATTTATTTTAGACATCTTTCTGTATTAGGACATATTAGCAACATCTTATTTTTAAAAATGCCAAAATAGTGTTTTAAATATCTTTAATAGTAGAATACTGTTTAATAGTGCCCTACTATTTACTAGTATCACTTATTTTGCCTTTACTCATTTTAAGAGGTAGCTGACCATTGGCTTTGTAAGTTTTTTTCTCTTGAAATAACCATTTTGGACTGACTTGTTTTTCCTACTGTCTTCACAAGTACTTTCTCGCCTGAGTCAGTGTTTGCATTGCTCTTACGATCTATTTGCTAAAGTTGTTAATTTAACGCCATCGTGAAATAAATACTTAAATTTAAAAAAGGAAAGAGTCTGTGGCATATTCTTTGTAAAATGTACGAAGTACTCTGTCCTCGGTGTGTGAATCTTTTAGGGCCTGCTCGTTCAAGTTCACGGGCTTCTCACGGGGTGAGGCGTTGTGGAGTGTGTCTAATTGAACATCTCCGGTCACACAGCATCGTTGGTCTCCTGGTCTCCCAACTACATACGCTTAGTGAACACTTCTCCCAACTACACTTGGTGAAATTCTCATGTAACTTTTTGGATTAAGAGATGTAAGAGTTTTCATCCCTTTTGAATTTGTACCATACTCCGTGCCTTTTCCGGTCGCTGGTGACAGCCGTCTCTTCTCTTCCAGGTTGTGTCTGAGCACGTTCACGCTGGCGGTGTCGGCCGGGGCGGTTTTGCTTTTACCCTTCTCCATAATCAGCAACGAGATCCTGCTCTCCTTTCCTCACAACTACTACATTCAGTGGCTGAATGGCTCCCTGATTCATGGTCAGTACGTGTTGCTCGTTATGATCACAGTGAACGTTTTCGTTTTTTACTGCCCTGTATTTTTCGATTTGCCTCGTCTTAATTTGCTGCCTAATTTGCATCTGCCTCCAATAAACCACGAGTCCCTCATAAAATCAGAAAACCAGATTTTACTTACTATTCCTATTCTTAGTTGTGAAAGGCTTTTCTGTTTTACTTAGTCAAGAAGCAGTGTTTATACTTAACAATGATTTTGATAAGTATTCATTTAAGTATTTATTCAAAACTGTTTTTAATTTAATTTCATTTTTTACTTTTATTTATTTTAGAGAGAGAGAGTGAGTTGGGAAGGTGGGTGGGGAGAGAGAGAGAGGGAGAGGGAGAGGGAAAGAGAGGATGAATCCCAAGTAGGCTCCGTGCTCAGCATAGAGCCCGTTGTGGGGCTTGATCTCACAAACCTCAGATCATGACCTGAGCCAAAATCGAGTCAGATGCTTAACCGACTGAGTTGCCCAGGTGCCCCAATTTAAATATTTAGCAAGAGACTTCTGGTTTATTTGGATATGTGAAAAGAACTCAGCCTCCATTTGAGACCAAAATAGTAACTATAGTTTTCTACTTTAATTTCCTGTTAGTAACGTTTGTCATTTAAAAATGTATAACAGAAGGGGGAAAACTTTTTTGTCAGTATAGGCTTTAAAATTAATGGTTAAAAATGGTTAAAAAATGACTTAACTGGGGCACCTGGGTGGCTCAGTCGGTTAAGCATCCGACTTCAGCTCAGGTCATGATCTCACGGTTTGTGAGTTCGAGCCCCGTGTTGGGCTCTGTGCTGACAGCTCGAAGCCTGGAGCCTGCTTCGGAATCTGCGTCTCCCTCTGTCTCTGCCCCTCCCCTGTTCGTGCTCTATCTCTCTCTCTGTCTCTCAAAAATAAAGTTTAAAAAAGGAAAAGGGACTGACTTACGATGGGCAACATAGTATATTGCTTGGAGGCCAAATATACCTGCTTTCCAGTCTTGACTCTTCCATCTTCTAGAAGTTTTTAGTGAAGTAAGATATTTTAATTTTAATTTATAAAATATATTAAAAGATCTAATACATAGATCTTTTTTTATGTTTCATTGCCCTTCCCCCTTTTTTTCATACTGTGATTTCTTTATGTGTGAAACCCATCAACTTTTTAAATGTTTTATTCATTTATTTATTTTTTGAGGAAGGAGAGTGTTCACACATGAGTTGGGGAGGGGCAGAGAGAGAGGGAGAGAGAATCCCAAACTCCCAAACTGGTTCTGTGCTGTCAGTGCAGAGCCTGATGCGGGGCTCAGTCGCATGAACTGCGAGATCATGACCTGAGCCGAAATCAAGGGCCGGATGCTCAACTGACTGAGCCACCCCAAAACACATCAGCCTTTTCTCAGATTTTTGTAAATGTGTTCTAGTCATTTTACTTTTTAACTTCATTTGCTTTTTAGATTGATGGAATTATTAACATTTTTATATTGTCCAGTCTTTTGTCTTCCCTTTGGTCTGATTGTTTTGTGTTTAGAAGATCCTTTCCGTCCCTGAGATGTGACAAATACTGTCTCCCCCCGCTCCCATTTTCTAAAAATGATTTTGTTTATGCTCAACTGTTTAATTCATTTGGAGTTTATACAGACAACTCCCTTTTCTCCTACCCCCTTGTGTCGGAAGAAATGACTACATTTGCTGTAGGATATTTGGAAACCAAAATGTATGGTGAAGAAAATTGTTCCTCCCATCCCATAAGCATATGACTATTGTGCATTCATTCTGTGGCCTGTGGCCTTGAATGTGGTGTGTTCCTGTGAGCACAGCCAAGTGGAAAACCCTCACGGACTCAGGGTTAGTTTGTATCTCCCCCTGTCCACACATCAGGGGGAGCTTTCCATGCCATTAACTACTTTTCTGTGCGATTTACGATATTGCCTGGAGCTGTGTTAATCATGGAGTGTTTCCAGTTTTTTAATTAAACTGTGGTGTACATCTTTACAAATATTTGTCCATAGGATAAATTTCTGCGATTCACTTGCCAGGTAAGCATACTTGCAGAGGACTTGAGAGGATATTTCCCATCCGCAAAGCTGAAGTCCCCTGCTGGTTTCACGGTCATCGGTGGGGTGGGGGAGGGGCTCCTCTTCTCAGAATGCATCTTCACCACCTGTGGGCATCTCTTAAAACCTGCCAATTCAATAGCGAAACATTTCCCCTCTTAAATGTACATTTCTTTAATTACCAGTGAGGGTGGACACTTACAAAATAGAGGTCATTCATACTTATTTTTTAGTAAATTGACTACCTGTGATTCCTTTGCTCATTTTTGCAGTGTTTTCTCCCCTCTTTTTAAGTTTTTATTTAAATTTCAGTGATGTAACATACAGTGTAGTGTTAGTTTCAGGTGTGCAATACAGTGATTCAACACTTCCCTACATCACCTGGTGCTCATGTCAACGTGTGCCCCCCTTAGTCCCCATCACCTATTGCACCCACTGTCCTATCCACCTCCCCTCTGGTGACCGTCAGTCTGTTCTCTGTAGTAAAGAGTCTGTTTCCTGGTTTGTCTCTGTCTCTTGTTGCTACGCTTATTTGTTTTGTTTCTTAAATTCCACATGTGAGTGAAATCATACGGTGTTTGTCTTTCTCTGACTGACTTTTCCACTCTGCGTTATATCCTCTAGATCCATCCATGTTGTTGCAAATGGCAAGATTTCATTCCTTTTTATGCTTGCAGTGTTTTTTTTTAATGTTTATTAAAATTTTTTAAATGTTTATTCATTTTTGAGAGAGAGAGAGAGAGAGAGAGAGAGCGAGCATGCACACAAGCAGTGGAGGGGTTAGAGAGAGAGACACACACAGAATCTGAAGGAGGCTCCAGGTTCCAAGCTGTCAGCACAGAGCTGTCAGCACAGGGCTGACGTAGGGCTCGAACTCGTGAACCGTGAGATCATGAGCTGAGCTGAGGTCGGACACTTAACCGACTGAGCCACCCAGGCGCCCCTCTATTTATTTATTTTGAGAGAGAAAGAGCGAGCACCAACTGGGGAGGGTCAGAGAGACAGAGGCAGTGAGGGAGAATCCCAAGCAGGCTCCTTGCTGTTAGCACAGAGCCCGACACGGAGCTCGAACCCATGAACCATGAGATGATGGTCTGTTCTGAAATCATGAGTCAGACGCTTAACTGACTGAGCCATCCAGGCACCCGTGCTTGCAGTGGTTTTTTTTTTAAGTAACTGATTGTCTGTTAGAGGTTAATTGCAAGCATTTTTCTCCCATGTATCCTTTAATACTACTTAAGCTGTTTTTTGACACAAAGAGTTTTAGTTTAATCACATATTAGAAATCTGGCCTTTATGGTTTCTGTCTTGTATGAAAGTAGGAGGAAATGGAGAGTCATGATGCTCTGAAGGCCAAACGAGTTCAGTAAAATTAGGAGTAGTTGTTAACTGAATAAAAAGAAGTTACTCTGTTGTTGCTTAGCAAGTGAAAAAACTCAGATAAGCAAACTGAAATTGACACAGAAAATAATAAGTCATCTCCTGAAAGGTCACTTGTTATTATGAAAGGCAGGAGACAACCTGGAGAGCGATGGCTACGAATTTTTGGAGAGTTGTTTTAGATGACGTGTTATTTGTTATTAGTAAATAGTTGGATAAAATATGATTTAGAAAATGGTTTTTGCATGCATTGTCTAATAAAATGTTTGAGGAAGACTGTTTGGCATGGTTCCCCCTGGCCCTAGCTTTCTGCGGAGCTGTAGGTACTGTGGTGCATATGTTTTGCCGGGTTGGGCTCCAGGTGTTTTTACCGGAAGTACAGGTGGTCTCAAGCTGGGCTAACCAGTGTGACAGGTGAACTGGCCCTTCTTTCCAGTTTTACTAAATAGAAATTGCATGTTCTACGTAATGACCTTACTTAATGACCTCTAAGTCAGGGTCCTTTCTTTTTATTTTGTTCATGAACTGGAAGTAAGAGCTACGAACATATGACATGCCGTATGTGTGGAGGCCTCAACCCTGGAAGTCAATATATTTGTATTGGTTGTCTTTCTCGTTGTAATGTAAGGTGTGCAAGCTCAAATATTTTATTTTTTTTATAAATTAGGGCTTAGAACAATGATTCCCACATAGTGGTTGCCTAATAACCATTTGTTGAATGAATAATAAACAGTAATTTTGAACTCCAGTAAAACCACTTCCGCTGAAAGTTGGAGAACTAAGGAAGAGCCTTCTAAATGATGTCCTCTTAGGAATGGGTCTCAGGAGGCCTGGGCTGTCTGCCCTGGAAATCTTCCTTGAGGGTTTTGTGACCCCTGGCTTTGTTTCTGCTAATTCTTTGGTAGGTCTGTATCTTTGCTGCAGGTTGTGAATTTCATAAATCTTTAAATGCATCTTTCTCTTCTAAATTCATAGCTGTCTTTAACCTTGTTGATGGCATTCATGGGAGTGCTTATTATTAGTCCTTTGGATTGTCTTGGGGCTGCAGATTTGTCAACCTTGGACATGCTTGCTTCTTGGCTTCTAAAAAATCATTAAAGGGGCCAAATTGTGGTAATGCTAAGAGATGCCCTAAAGCACTTGCTGTGTTCTAGACACACTCTTCCTCGCCTCCATTGTGGGGTAGCTCCAGTCTCCCCTTGGTGGTCGGGACCAGTTATCCCAGCCAGCACAGGAACTCCCTTCCTTGCTGATTGATTCAGAGGCATGAGGATCCAAAGTACTGGGCAGCGGTCTGAACTTCCAGTTCAGCGGGACCAGTGTTGTGTCTTCTGGTGGAAACATTCTTCCCTTTAGAGTTTGGACGTCTAGGCTAGCAGCACTAGTTCCTAAGGTTATAGGAACAGGAGGCAAAAGTTTTGCTAGTGGGCACTAGGGATAATAGTGAGTACCCCCATTCCTATTTCTCCCTCTTGATTCCTGGGCCTCGGAACCAACCACCATATTGGATACAGATTCAGGGCACTTGCAGCCTCCTGGAGTACCTTTCCTTAGTCCTTCGAAGCATC